TTCTGGATTCATTCCTGGATGAGAGGCCTTTGTGGGGCTGATGTCTTCATTTTTCTTGAAGGGGAGTTTTATGAAAAACTCTTGGTTTTTCCATAATGGAAATGGATGAGAGAACTGTTGATGATTATCAGCACAAAACTTGAGAAGATGATCTCGAATATCTTCATATCCTGGTGGTGCCTGTTGGATCTCAAAGAGATTAGGAACTTCAGTATATGCACTAAAGAAATTTTTATATCTAATTCCTTTAGGCAGGACTTGAAGATTCCTAGTATGATTATAAGCATCAAATCCAATAAGAATGTCTTTTCCAGGGAGATCACTACCAAGAACTTTCATCCATAGGACACATCCTGGAAAGAATTGAATACCAATCTTCCTGCGAGTTATCCATTCAATCTTGAAGGGCTTTGAATCAGCAGTAAAGAAAAGTTGATCACAAGGGATCCATGCTTCAGGGGGAAGAATATCAGGATTCATGATGGTTCTGCATGCTCCAGTATCAATAAAGGCAATAACAGGAATTGGCTTTTCATATCTTCCTGGAAGGATATGAATTTTGACATTTGGCTTAAGAGTGACTTTGTTGTGTTCTGGCTGAGAAGCCACGGAACCAAGGAAAGGAGACGGATGCACAGGCTGTTCAAGGGAATATAAATACCCTTGAGGACTATCATCTTCTTGAGAAAAGGATTCAGAATCAGTTTCCTCATCTTCAGAGTAAGGAAGAATATATTGTGTCTCTTCATCCTGAGCATCTTGTTCTTCGATCACGGATTCTACATCTTCATCTTCATTGATCATGAGAACAGTCTGCAAATGTTCTAGCATTTTGACATCCTTTTTTGTCTTGTTAGGACAATTTTTTGCAAAATGCCCCTTTTTCTTGCATATGTAGCACCTGTCAGATTTCTTTGAGTAAGGTCTGCGCCTCCTGAAGTATCTCAGGAAAGGCTTTCTGGATCTTCTCCTGGAGTAAGAACCCTTTGGATATCTGAATCGACGATAGTGAGATTTTCTCTTGGTAGAACAAGAGCAATCTTTATCATCCTTGCACTTTATTTTCAGATGTTGTTTCTTGCATGCATGCCTGAGCTTTGACTGTCCTTTCAGCATTCCTTTGAAGAACTTCTGTTGTTCACAGAGCTTATCCACAGTTGCTAATGCCAACTGATATATTTCTCCAATAGAAATGTCAGCCATGTTTCTATGGAGTGCATTGATAGCTCTATGAAGTTCTGGTTGTAATTCATCTGGAAGAGAGGCAATAAAAGTATGCCTGAGATTGACATCATTGGCTCCTCCAAGCATGTAGTATTTTTCAGACATTCTCTGGAAATGTTTCTGCAAGTCTCTTTTGTCTAAAGAGCAGCATTTCATCTCAAAGTATTCTTGGCGATGCCTTTTGTTAATGATCTGGAAGTCACCAATGAATTCCTTATGAATGAGTCCTAGGAGAGTTCCTGCATTATCAACTCTGGCTGCTGCTATCTTCTGGTAATCGCTGAGACTTTGATACCATTCTCTTAATGTTCCTGTTAGTCTTGAGAGAAATTCTGTAAGAACTTCCTCAAGAGTTGCATCATGCCTGGCAAGCTGCAGGTCAATCCATGCTCCGAACTCATGGAGTCTGTCTCTCCATTTTTCTGGAGGGAGATCATCAAAAGTGAACCATGGACCTGTAGTAGGTTTATAGTCTGTTCTTCTTGGCTCAGGTGTTTGAGGAACAGATGGGTCTTCATCAATAGGATCTTCAACTGTGGGATCTGGCTGGACCATTGCTACTTTAGAGATATCAGCATGATATATCTCCGGATCAGAGTTAGAACTGTACTCAATAGAGGAATCAGATTCAGGTTCAGAGGTTCCATCTGTTGATGACTGATCTTTATCCACAGTTTGGAAAGTGGCTATGGTTTTGTTTGGATCTGCAACTTCTTTTCTTTTTTCTCTGTCTGGAGGAGGAGTTTGTTTTGGTGGAGATGATGGTGGAGTTCTTATTACAACTCCTTGAGAGGACGGTGTTGGTTCAATAGGTTTAGTATATGAGGATGATGGGTAGAAAAGTCTTTCAGATGAAGGGAAATGAGGTGGTCGTACTGGAGGTTTGGGAGGAGGGTTTGGTTGGATGGGTGAAAGAGTTGGTTGTCGGGGTTTTCTTAATTGTCTTAAAATAGGATAAGACATTTTGAAAACCTTGCTGTAATCAGATTCTCTGGGATAAGAAGGAGGTGATGCTGGGTATGTGGGGAGTTGAAAACTAGAGGGGTAAGATGGATAAGGGTCATAGATGGTTTGTGAATGATCTTTAGCTATATCTGACTCGATTCTTTGTAAATCCTTTCGGATTTGTGACAGTTCTTGCTCTTTCCTGGTAAACTCTGGTCCAATGTATCCCTTTTCGATAAATTTCTTCAGATCTGCATCCAGTTGATAAGCCTGAGAAGTTAGAGTCATATAAAGCTGTTTGACTTGATCAGAGACTTGGTCAAGCCTGCTCGTCAGAGTATCAGTTCTGAGAGTCAGCAAGTCAAGCTTTGAATCAATCTTTGTCAGAGTTCTATTCTGGCCGATCGCATTCTGGGTCTGCCAGTTAAGAACTTCTTCTGCTGCTGAGACTGGTCTAGCTTCACCAGTAGGAGAGATTTCTGTTGGAACAGAGAAAGGTCTTGCTGTAACCTTTGTTTCTCTGTTGGTTCTTCTTTCAAGAGGAGGAAAATCCTGCTCATACGGATCCATCATTGCTATACACGGGATGGATTGTTGGATGACAGGAATCACTGGATCTGGCTTCTGTTTAGGGAGGAGATTTTCGTGACCTGTTTCTTTAAGCAGATCATATAGAGATAATCTGTTAGAAGGAACAGTAGAGACAGGAGCCTTCCAGCTTCTAGCTTTCTGCTTCGGACCATGATCATCATCATCATGGTGGCGATGGTGACGTCTGTGGGAACAAGGAGATGTATTCTTCTCCTTTCTCTTCTTTTTTATGGCATATCTGATGGGATAAGACCATCCATCTTCATCTTCATCGTCTGATGCTTCCCACCAGTAAGGTGTATCACACTCACAATCAGGATCACATTCTTCTGGTGCATGATCCCAAATGAAGTGGCCATTTATGTGAGACACATAACATGGCTTGGCATTCTGATCTACCCAAGCAATTGGAGGGTCTCGCTTAGATGGGAGATAGGCTGGAGTGATGGTTAAAATTCGTCCAGAAGGTACAGAAGAACCTTCCTGGCCAGGCTTGGTGAAGACAGTTTTGACTGTGCCGTCTGGAAGTCTTTTTATCTCAGGAGGAGTAGAAGTATGGACATCCCTTTGAACACCATGAAAGTGTTTTTCATAGTTGGTGATCCACTCAAGAGGCATCAACTGAGCAAGTTCTTCTTTTGGGATCTGTCGAGGAATCTGGATGATGGAGGTATCATCAGCTCTATCAGAAACCACATAAAGAGCATCTTTAGTGGAGTTTGGAAAATGAAGATCAAGAGCATGATTCTGGAGTCTATAAATGACTTGATGATGAAGAGTTGCTGCAATAGCTCTGGGATCTTGCTCTGCTCCAACTATCTGGACTTGGATTTTTAGTCTGTCCGTCAAAGTTGGATCTGAAAGCTTGATGTTGAAGTCTGGAGCCATAGTAAGGATGACACTACCGTTGCTTAGAGTGGTCAGTACAGCACCAATCAAAGCATTACTGTAGGTAGTATAAGTAGTATCGACTAGAGCAACTTTAGCAGTGGCTGGGATTCCTTTTCTCCCATGAAGAGTAAGGATAAGACGTACAGCACCAATATGGAGATGAGTATAACCTTGGGCTATCCACTCATTGATCAAAGGTTGAGGTATATCAATATTGACGTATTGTTCAGAGGAAGAGGCAGGAAGACCACAGTTTTCTAGTCTGGTAGACTGGACAATTTCTTTAACATGGGGTCTTCGGGTGGAAATCAGGTTTCTAACATTTCTGGTGACACGGTTGGTACGATGATAAAGACTGTAAGGACTGAGAAGAGGTAGATCTGTTTCCTGAACTCTAGCATCTTCAGGAAGATGGTCTATCTCAACAAGGTTCTCTATTTTTCTGGAAAGAGTTCTACGAACAGAGAAGGAAGTCTCTGTGGGATGAAGGAAGAAGAAAGACGAACGGGTTCAAGGCTGTTTGAGGTTTCACTCATGATAAGATGATATCTTCTTACTTACCTTCACTAATGATATCTCACGTCTGTCAAGATTTGTGGAGGCTCTGATACCACTCGGGGGTGTTAGCTGAATCGGACCAAGCTAACATAGTCTGATATCCAAGGCTTCAATACGTGGGATGCACACGACAATAATAATTTAATCAAAATATTAAATTCTTATATACTCTATATTCTAAAAAGTACCATTGCTTGTAAAATCTTTTTAATTTATTTTTATTCTTAAAATATTGATTTCTATAATGTTTTCCTAATGTTATCATTATATTTTAAGAATCATTATCTATCATTTTATACGGCTATTAATTAATCCATATTTGGGGCCCACACGACGATGATTAGCTCGTTCAACTCCAATGCGCCTGATCCCAAATGCCCCGCTCCTTCACCCCGCCTTTTCCGCGCAACACAAAACCTTTTGAAAACTTTATTTTCTGACCAAATTACCCTTTTCTTTTGTCAAAATACCCGTCATGATGACCCATCCGCTCACTCTCACGAAAGTTGAACTGTCGCTTTTTCCCTCACTGGCTTTACCACGTTGGCCTCCGACCCAGCAAGGGAGCGTTACGAGTTACGAATCTCTCGCTGTTCAAATTCTGTTTGAAATTTGAATTTTCTTGCTCAAACTGGATACCTCTCTTTAATGGTATGTCATTAACTCCTTGATATTGGTTTAATTTTTTCTGATTTCATATGAGCAACGGTAATTTTCTTCCCATTTGAGTTATGTTTTCTTGGGGGCTTGATTTTTGTTTTCTTGTGCTGTGCGTCTATATCTGTTCCATCGTCTTATGGTAGAAAGTAGTGGAATGGGTTGTTTTCTTTTCAGTATTTTCTGTTTGTTTACTGGGAAAGTGGAGTAAACATAGGCGGAGAAGTTTCCCTGTTCATTTTGAAGTTGAATTGATCAATGGAATTACACTGATTCCCGGTTTTCTTGCTTTGTTTTTCTGGAAAAACTTGAATTGTAAGTGATCTCGCTCGCTGGCTCGCTCCCTCTTTTTTCGCAGTGAACTTGCTTTGCCTTTTCCTTTACCATTCCTTGGCAGGTTCAGATAAAGGTATCAAAATCTCCCCAAAACTGTTCCGTTCTGTATATATTTGTATACCCTATGTTGTTTTCTGTATTTTATATCTTTCAAATAAAAAGTTGGTGTTTGATCTTAGTTTTTTTTCATATCATGGTTTTCTCTGTTTTGCTGACTTATAGTTCAATTACATCAGATGAACATGGTCATCTATAAATATTGATTATTGACCTTTGCGTAGAGCTGTCAAAATCAGCTACCCCCTGAGTGGACCCATAAAATTGGCGGGTTGGGTTTAGATTTTACTTCTTGGTTTTAAAGTTTTTTTGTAACAACATGCATTCTCTACATAATAGCTTTGGATTTCTTCAAAACTAGGAAGCTATGAAGTACGTCTCAAATCTTGCAGATTCTTAGACATTGATTGAAAATGACATGCAACTCTATGTTAGTGTTAATTAAATTTATCATACAACATGATGCTCCTTGTGAAGTCTAGCAGACTAGAATAATGGACTGTTGTGCTAATTATTTGCAGAATTGTTGGGCTCATCTTTTGTACTTTCACCTATCAGCATGGATTACATTGAACCAATCCCTTTCTTTCAATAATTTTGTATTCTAGTTATCTAATCTACATCTACTATGTGCAGCAATGGTGATAGAAAATATTGTCAAAACATGAGCTCAACAGACAGTTCAACAATAAAAGCTGAACTTGTACTATAACCTAATTCAACTTAAACCAATGTAATTGTTTTCGCTTGGTGAGTTAAACCAGCCTATTGGCACCTCAGCCCATGATGTGTGGATTGGGATATACTTTTCGGATAGCTATAGGCTTATTATTAATATTATTTTTTGTGGCTGCCTTTTGTTTGGGCTAGTTATTTTCCTATTTAATTGTTTTCCTATTTAATTCAATTTTGTTAAATTATTTGTTATATGAGCATGCATTAGAGTTGGGGGTTTGAATCTCAACTCTTGTGTATAAGCAACCAAGTTGGGCTGGGTCTACCCTTTACCCTCAGTAAAAGAATATATCGGGCTTATTTTTCTTTAATTGTAAATTATAAATTATATTTTCTCCATGACGTCCTTTTTCTTCTTTCAGTTATGGTCTTCATCTAATTAAATAATTCTCCTTATTACTATTGTGTTTAAGCTATACATATATATTCTGCGCTGATATGGGCTTTTTGTGTTTTTCCTTTTATTTTTAGGTTCAGTGAGATCTGAGTTTTTGGCATGTTAGTTCCTTAGATCCCAGGAAAGCCGATCAAGTTCATGAGATTGTGTTGGAATTACAAAGGATCATTAACACATGAAGAAACTGTTCTTTTTTAAATCTTCTGCGTCTAGCAGTGGGAACAATAGTGCAGTTCCCCCAAGACCCACAAATAAGCAAATATGCTGGGAGAACTCGTCAGAAAGTGGATTATATGGTCAGGCTCTTGGCAGAGCCGAGGATAGCTTCCAGAGTCCAACGGGATTGTTCTCTAAATCCCATAAGCATGCAGATAGCCAGGGTTCAGGTAGTGGGCCAAGACTTAGAAGGAGCAGGTCTTTGTCAACAGCAGCCTACCAAGTGAAAGATCATAGTAGGTCTCCTAGTTTCATTTCAGGTGATCAATATCATCAGTGTGAGAATTCTTCTCAGTAAGTATTTATGTCACCTAATTTTGAAGTGCGCGCACACACGAATATCCTATAGAAGCTTATTCTAAATTGTTCGTATTTACTTTTTTTTTTGGCAGAGATTCTTAGTTTCTTCCTGCTATCAGACTCTTACTCCTGAGAAGCAAAGGCAGTCACCTATCCACATTTCACATGGAACTGAGAGGCCTGGCTCAGCTTGCTCTTCAAGGTCTCATAATGATTCATCTGGGAACTCCTCCACTTCTTCTAGCAACATTTCAAGTAAGATTGTTGACCGTTATATTGATGGAGAGCAGCAGCCAGAAAAAACCAGGTCAAGGAAAAATTTACAGAAAATTTATGGTGAAAATGGAAATCATAGTATGAAGCTCCCTCCAAAAATTCAGTACACAGCGCCTAATTCACCAACTGATGGTGGTGCTAGATATAAACCAAGAGCTCATTCATTTAGAGAAGCTAAAGGCGCTGATATTCACTTTTCATCCAAAGACTGGAAAGAAAATGGGTTTGGCCATGAATCTCCTCGGAGCCTCGCAAAAAATGTCATTGAGAGACTTTCTCAGTTTCATTCTTTCTCTAAAATCACTTCAAAAGAGGTTGGTCTTGATAATCCAATTACAGTTGAAGATGTATTTGCTAGATCTGTAAATGAAGGCTGTGAGTCAGATCCAGATGAGGCTCTTCCAAAAGGTTATTCTTTTGGTAAACCTCACAGAATGGCAGGTGGTTATCATAGCATTGACGATCAAAGATTCCAGAAACATGATGTCTCTGCAGCAGCCAACTGTGACGGCTTAAGCTATGTTGTCCTTGAAGAGGATGTTGATGCAGAGCTACAAAGACGATTAAAGGAAGTCAAAGAGAGAGTTACTCTTTTTTCGAAGGAATTTGAAAGAGAATGCTTTCTTCTTGACAGTGGTTTTGATGTGTCTGTGTTGGTTCAGACAATCAGAAACCTAGAAGAGGAGAGGTTAAGTTTGGCAATGGAAGTTTCAGGCCTTCTTCAGTCTCGCATTGCTGAAAGGACATCTGCTAAGGAAGAACTTAGATCCTTAAAGGAAGAATCGGGGTTACAGGCTCGACGGCTAGAAAAGGAAAAGAATGAGATACAGTCAGGATTGGAGAAGGAATTGGACAGAAGGTCAAGCGACTGGTCACTTAAGCTCGAGAAGTGTCAGCTGGAAGAGCAAAGGCTTCGTGAACGTGTTAGAGAGCTTGCTGAGCATAATGTATCGCTACAAAGGGAAGTCTCATCCTTTAGTGACAGGGAAACAGAAACCAAAAAACTAATAATTTGTTCTGACCATCAACTCAAGGAAATGACTGAAAAGATGGAAGAAATGAAAGAGCAAAATTTGTATTTTCAACAAAATGTCTTAGAATTACAACAGAAGTGTAAGATAGTAGAAGAGAAAAGGGACATTTACCGAAGAAATTATGAAGAGAAGGAGAAGGAATGTAAAGAGTTACACAAATCCATCACAAGATTACTAAGAATATGCAGTGACCAAGAGAAGACAATCACGGGGTTGCGAGATGCATTTAGTGAGGACTTGAAGAATCCTTCTATGGAGAGGGTGGAGAAGCATGTTGCAAGAATGCAAATGGAGCAAATGAGGTTATCGGGTGTAGAAATGGCCTTGAGAAGGGAGTCAGAGTCTTATAGGATTGAAGCAGATTCTCTTCGCCAAGAAAATATAACTCTACTAAACCGCTTAAAAGGGGATGGGAAAGGAATTGTTGCTGCTACTTATAAGCTAGATAAAGAGCTGTTGGCCCGTATTTATTGTCTGCAAAATCAAGGCCTGACAATGCTAAATGAAAGCTCCGACCTATGCTCAAAGTTGTTTGAATTTATCAAAGGGACGGGAGGTCAGCTTCTTCAAGATTCACGGCAGGAAATGGAAGTGAAAAGAAATGGTCTAGATGGGCAATTTATTGTTGAATCTGAAAGTAGAATTCAGAGTCTTAAAAGTGGAATTGAAAGCTTAACTAGGAGTTTGCAGATGATGTCGGGTTTGGTTGCTGAAAAGTCAAGTTCATTGACAACTAAATTTCAGTCACAGTTTATTGATCCTGATAAACTAGCTAAATTGAATGATCAATCATCTGAGGTAAGTCACTGCTAGACCTTTATAATATATTATCTTAAGCAAAATGCGGATTGTAACTTGTCTATTTCTTATATTTAACCTTTAAATATAAGCTTTTTTTTTCCTTCTTTTTTTTTTAGCACGTTCTTTTTATTAAAGACATATAACTAACCTTTTAAAAATCTTTTGTAGGATATGATAAAAACTGAACTTAAAGCAGAATGCTTGCTTACAAGTCTGTTAAGAGAGAAGCTATACTCGAAAGAGCTCCAAGTTGAGCAGCTGCAAGCTGAACTTGCTACAGCAGTAAGAGGAAATGACATACTTAAATCTGAGGTACAAAATGCACTAGCCAACCATTCATGTGTCAACCATAAGTTGAAGGACCTTGAACTTCAGGTCAGTCCCCACTATCAATTTTCGTAAATTATATAGGTAAGCAGGCCATTTTCTGTGGAAAATGTCTAATAAAATGTGCTACCTCTAATTCTAAATATAAGAACTAATTAAGAGATTTGTTTTGGTTCTAAATATAAGGCCTCAATTTACTTTACCTTCTAATTTTATAACCTCAAAGTACCTTTGTTGATTGCACATAATAAGAGGGTTTTCATTGAGAAGTGGTTACAATGCACATGATAAGAAAGGATACTTTAGAAAAACCAATATATTTGTTATAAATAACTAACTTAACTAATTTTTTTAATATTTATAAATTAATTATTTAGCTCTTATATTAAAGATTAGAGAAAGTAATAAAGTTTTCCGTAAGTTTATTTTGTTTAAGAATTATCTTCCAACAAATGGAGTGTAGAGTTGGAGGGTTCCTGGCAGTACTTTCGGAAGTTGCTGTTGCTTGGACCTGGTCCTACTCGGCTAGGAGAAGTATGGAAATTAATTTATCATGTTCTGGGTAACAGATGTTGAAGAAAGATGAGAACATAAGCCACCTCCACAGTGATCTGAAGGAATCTATGAAAGAATTAGCAATCGTTAAGGGAATATTGCCCCAAGTAAGCGAGGAGAGAGATCGCATGTGGGAACAAGTGAAGCAATATGCCGAGCAGAATATGCTATTGGACAAAGAGATCAATGGCTTGAGGAAGAAGATAGAGGTCCTTGATGAAGATATACTTGTAAAGGAAGGTCAAATAACAATATTAAAAGACTCCCTTGGTAAAAAGCCCTTTGACCTCCTTGGGAGTCCTGATCCTATGCATGAATTTTTGCTTAACTGATTGCTATAAGCGCATATTTCTTTTTCATAGGCCAACTCATTATACGTTGTTCATAGTTCTATACATCAATGAAGTTTTGAAGGTTCTTTTCTTGAGTTTATAGATGAATTTGTGCTTGCATTATTTTGTACAAGCTTTGTTCTTTTTTTAAGGTCATGTTATAATATCTTCTACTTTTTCCTATTTGATTGACTCTTGTTATCATCAGTCAGTGTATCATAATATGATATAAACTTCGAATTATTTAAAACTTATAAATAGTGTGGCATTGTGGCTCATTTTAATACCCATGCAAAGTATGAGACATCTCATTATTTTTTCCCCTTTAATATTTTAATTATGCATGATCGATCAACTTCAAACCTAAGGGGTCCATCTTCTTGGGAAATAGAATCTTTTCTTTTAACCCTCTACTTTGAGCAAGCTTTTTTTAATGAAAAAAATTACTCATAGTTCTCAATTAAAAAAAATAAATACAAATAGATTTTTTGAACTTTAATTATTACTTATAGGTCCAAGGGGACTTGGAGTAATTTGAAGGAGAAATTCTTGTGCGCTCCAGGAGCACCACGTCATTTATAGTCTGACAAATAAAAACCTGCCATCTCATTAAACTTAATCTTTAGCTGTAAACTTAGCTGTCAGCTTTTAATTTGTACTTCTTCTGTTTCTTATTATAAGAGACATTTGATGCTTATAGCATGTTTTCATATATAAGAGACACTTAAAAGTTGTCTCTAGTTTTTTGTATTGATTTCCTATTTTACCCCTATTTATTTTGTCTCCAACTCATATTCTCTCTCCCTCCCACTTCTCTTTTTTTTAATAATTTAATTGTTCTCTCACATACTCTCTCTCCTTATTAATAGGGGCATTGTTGGAAAAAATATTATACTTTTTACATATTAATTGCCTTCAACTAATTTTAACTGTTTTTTTTATCAACGTAATTTGGTTATTTGTCTCTTATAATAAGAAACGAAGGGAGTATTTACTTAAGTAATTTAATTTAACAATTTCTTTTAGAAAGTCGTTCTCATCTTTTGTTCCTGACTTTTTCTGCCCTCGTCGCTAGCTCGTCGTCTTCTTCTCCATTTGTTTTTCCAAAACTCCCTTCCACATAATTTTTCTTCTTTGTTGTGTGTTTCTGCATCAGGAGCCACCATGTTTCTCCCCTCCTCTTCCCTGATCACCCTTACCTTCTCTATATTTATCCTCTCCCATCTCCCTCACCTTCACCCTCCAACTCCTCCCGCCGTCACTTCCGCCCGCCCTATCTCACTCCTGCCGTCAGTGATTCCGTCTAGTTCGCTTCTCTCCATTTGGAAGATTGTACATCATTGTCTATCTCCTTTTTCAACTCATACCCATCTTTTTTCCTCTTTCAAGTTCTTGAATCTGGTTGCTTACTTCTCTAGATCCAAAGCATGAGGGGAAAATTGATGTTCTTGAACCTGAGTCCACGATTTGAAATTTATGTTTGATTTGCTGCTCTTGTTTTGTGTTAAGCGAAGGAAGGAGGGTGCTGGACAGAGAAAAGAAACACTACTCTTCATCTCGTGGGTATGGATGGAGTACATGGAGGAAAGAGAGGGTTTGTTGGTGGGGAGAAGCGAAGATGATGGAGGAGGGCAGAGAAGTCAGGAAAAAGGATGGGTACGAGTTTCTAAAAGTAATTGTTGAATTAAATTACAAAAAAAAATATAAATAAAAAAACTAACAGCTAAGCTCACAGATCAGATTAAATTTAATGAGACGGAAATTTTATTTGTCAGACCATAAATGACGTGGTGCTCCTGGAGCACAGAAGAATTCCTCAATTTGAAGTTGGCGTGAATTGTGATATAATTTGTAGTAGGTATGAAATGACATCAATGTCCTTTGGTTGTGTTAACCAAACTCGGATGGTTGTTGACTGATTGCACAGACAGGCATTGATCAATCGACAATTGAACAAATTTATTTTATTTTCATAGTTTGAAAATTGGGTTAAAGGTAGTTTGTGCCCTGGAAGTTTTTGCGAATGAGTAGCGGGCATCAGAAAATTTTTTTTGGAGCAATATTGCCTCAAAAATTATAAAATTATAGTAATGTTACCTCTTTTTAATAGCACCAAACGGTCAACTGTCATTTGACCAATTTTGCTGAGTTGGCTCTACCATATAAGATATTATGCCATATAATATACCACATCAGATTATAACAAAAATGGGTGGGGGTGGGGGTGGGGGGAGGGACGTGACTAGCTTCTTTCTTGGCTTCGCATATGCTCTCTTCCGATTCATTCTTGCCACTGCAAGTAAATCACCTTTTTACTATGTCAGGCAAAAAAAAGTTCACCTTTTCACCATGATTTCAGCTCGCTAAGATCAGATAGCAAATTTTCACGGGGAAGCAATTGATTAATCGAAACCAATCATTATGCAGATCAATGAAACTCAAAGAATAGAGGGTAGATTAGCAAACAAAAAAAAAAACCCTTCTATTATCATTAGCATCTATGAACTAGCGGGTTGAGATATAAATTTACTCTGAAAGTTTTTACTCAAAAATATTGGTATCTAAAAGTTTTTTTGGGAACAAATTTTTTCCGTAAATTTAAAATTGTGACAATATTGCTCTTCACGGTTAAAAAACTTACGTCCGTTAAAATAGTTATGTTGATCATTAATATTGTTAACAGTAGGGGATAATATTGCCACAATTTTAAAGTTTCAGGGCAAATTGACTTCCAGAAAAACTTTTGGATACCTAATGCTCTTGAGTGAAAACTTTTGGGATAAATTTACACCTTAATTCATAAAAATTGATATTTATAAGTCATATTTATATGTGAAGTTGTGTCATTTATAAGTCAAATTTTTATATTTACAAAAATAATTGCATCATTTAAAAGTCAAATTTAACAATTTCATATCTATGAGTTGGGTTGTGTCATTTAGAATTGATTATAACTTTTCTCCCAAAAATTGTACAGGTCAACAAAACTGGTAAAAAAGGCACACACATTTTTTTGTTGTAAATGACAAAAATTTTACTTGGATTTATAAAAAATTGATTTGTAAACGTTAAATTAAATTGAATTACAAATATGAAAGTTTGACGTGTAAACATCAAACTATTAATATTTGAGTTGAAGAACATTAAAAGAAGGGAGCATTACAATCAAGTCCCATAGAAGAGAAATAATTACTAAAAAGGCCTAATAACAACCTGAGCAGCCTGTAGGACTTATCATTATAGTGGAGAATAACAACCTTTAAGACTTGTTTTGTTATTTTTCTTTTTATGGGACTAGATTGTAATTCTCCCATTAAAACAAAATATATTGTCTGTCTTACTGCTTAACAATTGTTCATTGGTGGCAGGCAATTAGTCAACTACAACTACAGACAACCATTGTTCAACACTATGTGGGTGATTGCTTTTTTTTTTGGGAGAAAAAGACAAAATGATACTCCTCTGATCCTTAATATAAGACATGTTTAACTAATTTGATTAGATTAACAAAGTTAGGTACGTTAGTTAATTATAAAAAATATGATATATTTTTCCTAAAACACCATAATCATCTTTCTTAATATCCTCCCTTCCTCTTTTACTTGCTTATGGTTGAGGGAGTATCTATAGGAGTAATTTAGGAAAAATTGATCAATATGAGAAATATGTTTTATATTTAGAACCAAAATCAACTAAACAATTAGGTTCTATATTAATGACTGGAGGAGTATTAAATAATATAAGTTTACAAATTACAAATACTCAGAAGTAAAATGAGTTCCTAAGAAATTGTAAAATGTTGATATTGGAATGACCCCTAAAGTTAACAATAGAAAAATCAAGAAGCAATGCTAAATCTCCTACCCGACATTGAGAGTTGAAGAAACTTGTGGAGAAGTCTGAAGAAAAGATGTCCTAACACAATAAGTTGTCAATAGTGCCTTAACATATACTTTTATGGTTCTTAATATAAGACCCATTTAACTAATTTGATTAGATTAAGAAGTTAGGTGAGTTAGTTAATTATAAGAAATGTGACACGTTTTTCCTAAAATACCATAATCATCTTTTACCCTCTCTTTCTGTTATACTTGATTATGGTTGAAGGAGTATCTATAAGGTAATTTAGAGAAAATTGATAAATATAAGAAATGGGTCTTATATTTAGGACCAAAACTAACTCAACAATTAAGTCTTATATTAAAGACCGGAGGAGTATTTGCAAGATCACTGTGACCTGAATCCAGAAAAGAGCAGCATGGTAGCATTTGAAAAGTAAAGTTGTCCTTGGGGTTGTTTTATTTTCCCACAAGAATTCCTTCATGGGATCCATTATGACAAATAATTCCATGGCAAAAGTGTTTCCCTGACCTCTTATACTTGTGAAAGAGAACATTCCATCGATCTTCATGCAAAGGTAGACTGGAATCAATAATGGATTTTAGTTTACCCAACTTTGCCATGGAAGAAGAAGTTGAGAATGCAAGATCCTGGTAGTTGACAATTTATTTTACTTCCCTAATTATTGTCAAATGGCTATCTCTTTTTCCATGATGTAAAGTTTAATTCTTTTTCCTCCGAAGAGTGTGCAAAAGACATTATTTGAGAGATTAAATTAAAAAAAAAATTATCTCTTTGGAGATTGAAAAGAGTGCCCTTAAGCCATTCCTTGAAACCAGTGAAAGTTAAAGAAGGAATTCTAATATTAACACATCCACACCATATACTTCTTGTTAAAGGACAATTGACAAAGAGATGATCCAATGTCTTTGCCGCATCACAACCAAAGACATATAAAGTAGATAAAGGGAAGTGATGCCTGGTGAATATGCCACTTGATGGGAAGACATTATGAAACAGCTTCGAAATGAAAAGAAGTTGCTTGTAAGGCAAATGTAACTTTCACAGAAATCTCCAGAAATGATCATCAGCAGTACCATCAGGCCTGGGATCTTGTAACAGTAGTTTAACACCATCCTTCATTGTATAATGTCTTGAGGGGTTGCTAGTCCACATCAAAGTATTTGGAGAGTTTAAAATGGAAATAGGGATACTGAGAATTTCCTAGGCAACATTGGCCGAATATAGAGAGCAAACTAGCTGTGAATTCCAGATAATAAGATTCCAAGATAATGAAACATGCAATAATAGATCAGCTACTTGTTGAATGTTCAACGAAGAAGCTCGACCCTGCTGCATGGGCCACCAAAGGTCGTGATTAATCAGAACCATGGTACCATTCCCAACATGCTATTTTAATCTCCTGACAATGATTCCTGCATTTTTAGAA